TCTTTCTTGTGCCCACATTGAAGGTGTGGGTCAGGAGCATTTCTGTGTCTCCTGCTGTGCTCCCATCTATACATGACTGGCAGGCTGCCTTCCTCAAGGCATCCTTTACTACTGTGTCCCTCTAGCTCTTTTTGAACCTGAAGGATAAATGGTTTCTTTAGTCTGCTTTGTTTAATCTGTTGCACATGCTGGTGAGCACACCAGCCTTCTCTGCACAGGCCCTGCCCCATCCTCCCCTTGGCTCTCCACCCAGATATGGACATTTCTGCTCTTATGCCCTTACTGACCACATGTGATGCACTGCTTTGACTGTATTAATGGGTCTCGTTGGCCAAGTGATAAAGAGCCCTACATTCTAGGCCCTGCATTTGGACATATCCAGAGTGTCGTGCTTCTTTTCTGAGAAGCCATTTCTGATTTCACCAACATGCCTCCAGAAGATGGCGGGCAGGGCTCTGGAACTAAAACTGTTTCATTAAGAACAGTTGAGCAAGCTGGAGACATATATCTAGGTACATATTTGGTGTGATAGCTTCCTGTGGACTCCTTGCACATTCTCCTTATGTGACAGAGTTCACACTTGGAGAAGATTTAGTAAGCAGATTTCAACTGAGTTAAGTGAGAACTTTGCCACACTAAACATTGTCTTTGGGCAGTTGAGAAATTCTCCTTGACCGAGTATAACCTGTGTTTAGTGTTGTGGTAAGCTCATTTAGTCTTTAGACCCACCCTGTGGATTTCAGTGCTGTTGTCTTCATTTTATAAATGAAGTAGAAACTCAGGTTTAGTATCTTGGTACAGCATCACTTAGGTAACAAGTGGCAAAGTTCAAGTCAGAACTGAACCCAGAGTCCCTCCTTTTCTCTTCCCCTGCCCCCAGTACTGAAAATTCAACCCAGGGGCACTCTACCACTGAGCTACATCCCCAATCCTTTCCAGCCCTTTTATTTTTTATATTGAGATAGGGTGTCATTACATTGCCCAGACTGACCTTAAAACTGGAATCTTCTTGCCTCGGCCTCCCAACCAAAGCCCTTCCTCTTAACCACTTTGCTGTTCTTGGAAGTATCTGATAAGGGCAGATTAACCACTTTCCAGGAGCACTACAGAAATTCCCACACTTTGGTACCCAGGAAAGCCCCATCTGCCTAACATTCTGTGACCTCGGTCTCACCCTTCCCTTCACACTGCAGCCCATATGTCATTCCTCCATTAAACTTTCCTTCACAGCCTATATGCAGCACACAGGGGCTGCTGACTCCTTGGCCTTGACTGCACTCTGCTATGTGTAACTCCCCTCACAGGATCAGGAACAGGCTTTGTCATCTCTCCTTTCCCTCAGCACCCATTCTGGCTACTTCACATGGTGGACATCTGTTCTGGTCATTCTCTCATAGAGGGCTGCAAGTGGAATCTAATATATGTTTCCATCTAAAACCCCAGGATAGAATATGTAACGGTGACTCCTGAAGGATTCCGGTACCGAGGCCAAATTTTCCCAACTGTAAATGGGCTCTTCAGATGGTTTAAGGATCATTACCAGGATCCTGTGCCAGGTGAGTTCTTGTGTCTCCTGACTTATAGGGTATAGTTGGAGGAACATGACTCAAGTGATCACTGGCCTCTAGGGGAGAGGGGAAGGGTAGGCTGTCATTGTAGCTGGGAGCAGGAATGTTATGACTGCAAGGTTCTCCAATGGGCCTGTGCAATTTCCCCTTCACCTATCTTAATACCTCTTCTAGCCCCTGAATTAGGAAGCCAGAAATAGGTTTCTGGATGGACATAACTAACAATAGCCATTTCCTTACAGGCATTACCCCCAGTAGCAGCAGCAGAACAAGGACACCTGCCTCTATCAATGCTACTCCTGCCAACATCAACCTTGCAGGTGGGGCACTCGGGCCTGGGTCTATGGAAGGGCTGGAACCAGAGGAACTTTCACTTTTTACATGCCATCCTCTTCTTTATGTGCTTACAGATCTGACACGGGCTGTGAATGCCCTACCCCAGAACATGACTTCGCAGATGTTCAGTGCCATTGCTGCTGTCACAGGCCAGGGACAGAACCCTAATGCCACCCCAGCCCAGTGGGCCTCCAGCCAGTATGGCTATGGAGGCAGTGGAGGGGGCAGCAGCGCTTACCATGTACGTGGCTTGGGGAGGAGTTATCTATACAGTGTGGGGAATAGCAAGAGGGAACAGACATCTTTTACCAACCCAAGTCCTATAGACACCTCTGGCTGTGCCCACCACAAAGGGCTTCATATGCAGAGACGGCTTCCTTAACCTTAGGAACCATTACCAACAGATGTTCCTTTTCCCTAGCCCACTTGACTGGAAAGGGAATAGAGGGGACCTGACCTTTCAACTGGGTCCTTTGAGATCTTGGGGGAACTCTCAAGCAACTAGAATCCTAAGGCCTTCAAAACCAGTGGGCCTCATGTGCCATTGTCAACCCTCTTGCCTCCTTCTGCTTCTTGGAATCACATGCTGCTCAGGGTTGGGTCACCTGGGAAGCTCTGTTTTGAGCCCATCCTTTCAGCTTGCCAGAAGTTCACAGTGACCAAACAGGCCCAGAGCCCATCCCCACTTACTGATCCACATCTTTCCAGGTATTCCCAACACCAGCTCAACAGCCAGTGGCCACACCACTAATGACCCCCAGCTACTCCTACACAACCCCGAGCCAGCCCATCACCACACCGCAATACCACCAGCTCCAGGCCAGCACCACCCCACAGTCTGCCCAGCCCCAGCCCCAGCCCTCTTCCAGCTCCAGGCAACGGCAGCAACAGCCAAAGTAAGTATAAGGTGGAGGCACAGGGCAAGGTTATTAGAAGGGACAGATGTTGTCTTGAGTTGGGGGCTTAAAGTCCCTTCTTTCCATCTCCCAGGTCCAACAGCCATGCAGCTATTGACTGGGGGAAGATGGCAGAACAGTGGCTACAGGAGAAGGAGGCAGAACGGCGGAAACAGAAGCAGCGGTTGACACCTCGGCCCTCCCCAAGTCCCATGATCGAAAGCACCCCCATGTCCATTGCTGGCGATGCCACCCCGCTCCTGGACGAGATGGATCGGTAGGGGGCCTGCTCCTCAGACTCTGGTTACCTCTGAGGCTTTGAGGGCCTGGTCGCCCACTGCCTCACTCCCTGCCCATCCTTTTCTGTCCATAAAATGGCGTTAAATGACATTTTCTTTGGTTGTTAGCCTGGACAGGTAACAGGCTAAATGTCCTTGTGAGCTTGAGCTCAGTATATGCCAGGCAGCAGTTCACCCACTCCAGACCCTCATTAACCACCTGTCCTAGGATCAGGCTGGGAGGAGGGTATGGTGGGAGGAGAGGGGAAGATGAGGATGAGAGTGAGCAGTTTTGTATTCTACTCCCTACAAGCCATTTTGAGCTTCTGCCCTCACCTGACTTTGGGCTATGATAGGGTACCAAGCTCAGCATGTGTGTCTCCCCCAGCTCTTGTGGGGAGAGGGATGCTATTTATTCATTTTGGGCAGGAGGGAGAGGAGGGAAAGTATTTTTGATCCTGATATCAACATCATTGTGGCTCTCAAAGCAGGATTGCAGGGGACATAAAGGGAGCAGTGTTAACCTGCTAGCCCCTGCCTGGCTGACCTTACCCGCCTGCTGCTGCCACATTTCCTGCCTGTCATTTGAATAAACAGTGTTTCTACACAGCACTTGCTGAACCCTCTCTCTCCAGCTCTCTGCTTTTCAAGGGGTAGCTTTCAAAGCAGTTTGGGGCTCCAAGGGCTCCCCTGACAACTCCTGATACATCTGAGAGGCAATTTCATAGAAGAGCAGGTAGCCTGTTCAGTCTGCCTGAGGTCACATTCCTCCCCCGTTCTGAGCCCTGTAACCTGTGCCATCCCTGCTGTCTTAAAACTGGCTTTGACTTCTCTGAATCCTACCTCATCAGTCTGCTATAAGGACCAAGCTGGGGCAGTATGAACTGCTCAGCCCAGTGCCTGACACCTCATAAATGTCAATTTGCTGTTACTCCCCTTGAACAGCTGCCTCACTGGGCCAGTCTCTTCTCTGGCTTATAGATTAAAAAGCCACAAGTAAATCTGAATTTCTCAACTTGAGCCCCTGCAGCTCCCTCTATTCCACTTTCCTAACTGGGCCCTGGTCTCTCCCAATATGGGTCCCCAGCTCATCTGTTTATAGTCATAAAGGCCCTGGAAGTAGGAGCTGGCACATTCCAGAAGAGGCCATTTCCCATCGTCCTCTCTCCCCCCCAATTGGCACCAGCCAGCCACTGACTCTTGTCCCTTCCTACAGTCCCACGCTCCTGATTGCCCTGTTTCTTCACAAGGGCTTCATCTCACAACTTTGAGTCAGTGCTGAGAGATGGAGGCTTTCCCCTCTCTCCCTGCTACTTGGGGGTTCAGCAGGAGTCAGAATGAGACCACTATTGCCCAGACTTGGTGAATTCCCTCTCTCTACTTTTCTTCATTCAAGATCATTTTGTGTGTAGGCAAGAGCCACTGGAAGGGACTTGAGAACTCAATTCTTCATTTCTCATAAAAGGTCTACAAGACTCTAGCAGGAGCAGGACCACAGCTGGGAAGTTCATGTCCTTGTGATACTATAAGCACCTTCCCCAGAACCACTTGAAGAGAAAAAGTCTAGATATAATGGCAGAGCAAGTGAAAAGGTCAGTTTATTTGAGATATTGCTGCATAGTGTTGCCTATCCCAGAATTGAGTTTTTTCAAACACACCAGTCTCCCCAGGGCAGGAACCCAGTCCTCCCACCCCCAACCTATCTAGACGTACTCTTCCAAACTGGTCCTAGGATGTTAGGAAGAAAGAGTGCTATGCCCCTGCCTTTTCCTCCCACCCACCTCCCCATGGACTTCCTCATTGAAAGCCAGATTGCCCTTCAAAATCCCTGTAACCCCCAGCCCCTTCATTCCAGTACACCCAGGGCCCACCACCTCCCCCCAAAGTAGCCCTTTCAGAGGGAGAGAACAAACAAGAGTGGGTCAGTGTCAGGCTTGATGGCATTTATTCTTCACCCTGGGCACCCTGGCCTCAACTGAGATTTGGGTTGGACACTGGGGGAGATTTCCTCTTGATCACTTTCCTGGTTGGTGAGGTCTTTCCCCTGTTTTTCTTGACATGGGCAATGCATTTCTCTCTCTTCCTGGGTGATGATGACTCTACGATGTCGTCACTGGAGGGCTCTTGCTGACCCCGGTCATTGTAACTATCCTCACTCTCCAGGTCTTCTGGGCTTTCTGGGCTGGACTCCGACATCCTGGCCAACATTCTTGGGCTTAATGTTCGGCTCAAGTCTGGAGGTGCAGACTCTGATTTCATTGGGCTTTTCTTCTTAGTCAACTTGCCCTTCTTGACTTTTTTCTTCAGCTTTGTCTTCTCATCTGTCATCTCCTCCTCCTTGTCTTTTTCCTTTTTCTTCTTTATCTTCTTAATCACCTTGATGTCCTGGTTCTTTCTTGTGGGGCTCTCAGAGCGCCAGATGGTGATGGGCGCTGCTGAGTCAGGGGTCCCAGTGACTGTGCTGGTGCATGGTTCAGTGGGCGCTGTGGTGGGTCCCACCTGAGTTGGGATGGGAGGCCTACTTTGATCCTCCTCTTCCTCTTCTTCATTTAGGTCATCTGCCCCACATTCATGGTGGATGGGATGGTGGATTACTGCTACAGAAACAGGCCTATAGCTTTTGCACCTGGAAAGAAGGGGACCAAAACAGAAGGTTGACAGGGAGGGGGTCAGTGCTCTCTGGAACCCTTTCCCCATTAGCCTGCCAGCACTCACCAGCCATACCAGAATCGTTCCATACATTCTTCCTCTGGGATGCACTCAAGGCAAGGGTTTTGAATGATGTTGAAGCCGGTTGACTCCACATCACGGGAGCAGGTTGGGCCCGTGTCTTGGGAGCTGCTGCTATTTGTCTTCTCTGAGCAGTCCTTCAGCCTGCCACACACAGGACTCTCAGCCTGACTCCCACACATCTCCACAACTCCCCAAGGACCCAGAGGGACCAAGCTAGGGCATAGTGGGCTTCCTCCAGACTTGGCTCAGACTGCCAAAAGATCTCCCCATTACATATGGAGCACAGCAAGTTTTATAAGCTAGGTCTGGGCTGGCAGCACACAAAGCTGAAGAGGGAAATCTAAGGCTAAAGTAGGGAGCCACAATGAAAATTTGAACCTGGTTCTGCCATGATTCTCCTTCAAGAAGGGATCCTCACCTAGAATCACAGTCGCAGTGGCTGACAGCATGTACGTGTAGGTTGCGGTGCCCATAGTCAGAGAAGGGGTGGATGATGTGCCCAGCACACTGCTTGTGGTTCCAGCAGCAGCTGTCAGTCTCCTTGCCTTCACCTGAGAGAGGAGGATTCTGAGTCACTCAGATAGCACAAAATACACACTTCAGTCTAGAAGCCCTTACCAAACTTGCTTGTTCTCATCGCCACTCCCACCCTGAACTGTTTTACTTTGGTAGAGGGTCAGTCCTTCAGCCTGCTCAGTAGTCACCACAGGCCCCAAACACTGCCCTGTCCACCATCCACTACATGAAGCCCCTACAAACTCCCTGAAAAATGTGTGGTGCTACATCTGGTATGAAGGAGGTCCTCCCCAGTCTCCCTTTCTATTCTGTGACACCATACTTCTTCCTTTTCCCCTCCTTCCATGGGAGCTCATCTACCCTCCAGGGCCCTCCATAGCAATCCACAAGGTGCCAGATATTGCAAGGTCCTCTTGCTATGGCAGAATAGAGCCTTGGCCGCAATCAGAACCCACAGCCATCACCTCAGTCCCTGTGCCTTCCTTGCCTAGGTCCAGACAACCTCCACCTGACCCTCATAATCTCTGACACACTCCAGTCCCAAGGCCTGATAACTGTGCAACATGGCCCTTGCCTGATCCTTCTACTCATCCCTCTCTTGTGGCCACTTCCCTCCCCCACACGTTTCTTTTCTTCTGCCTCCTGATTTCTTACTGTATCTCCAGCATCCCACTCCATTCTTCTCTGTTACTCAAGTTCCCGTTCTTCCTTCCCAGCCCCTAGAACCACAGAATTCCTAGCAACCCACCCTAGCCTTGCCCCTCCATCCTGTTAGTCATTACAGATGCCAAATCCCCCTTTACTAGGGCACAGAGGGAAGACGCTGGGGTGGGACCTGGGGCTGGGAAACATGCTGGAAACACTTCTTCCTCTGATGCTTAGCTATGAAGTTCGACACTGCCTAGGGCTCCAGTCCACCATTGGCTCTCCCCTTGGCCCTGTCTAAAAAGTAAGCCATTCCATGTGGCTCCACATGCTCACAGTTCAGAAGCCAAAGGTCTCCCCAACCTGACAGAGGACAAGGGACCTACTGTAGGTTCCTCTATAATGGGCTACAACCCATGTGGGTTCCATGGATGAATCTCAAGGCAGCACAGCAGGGGTCACTGTACAAGGATTGTGACTTTATCCAGCTCTTAGAAAGGGTGGAACTGGGTGAGACCTTATGCAGGTCCCCACCAGGAATTCAGTAATTAACCCACACTAAGAGTATAGAAGTCCAAGTGGTCATAAAGTGCTTGAGATAAGACCATGGTAGTAGGCTTTTACCACATTCCTCTTTCCTTCCCCCCACCCCCCCGCAAGGCTATGAGGCTCCCAGGTCCCCACCATTCCGCTGACCCACTTGGTGTCCTTCTTTGCTCCTCATACCCTTTCTCTACCCTAGGAGATATTAAGGGAGATATAAATGACATGACCTTGAAACATCATCCCCTTTTCAGGTTTCTTTGACACTGCTGAATTGGAACAAAGGAGAGCATAGTGGCACATGGCCTACTTGAACTTGCAGTCAGACAAGCCTAGATTCAAGTGTGTCACTTACTAGCTGAGTAACCTAGGGCAAAACTACTTCTCTTGAGTCTTTGTTTCCTTATTCACAAAAAGAGATTGTGGTAATACCTATTTGCAGGGTTGTTGGGGTAGGGGGATCAATTCACATGTGTTAAAAATATTCCTGTACCATAACATGCTCTATACAGGAAAGGGGCCTCTTTGATATGGAATGAAGAATGGGCAGTTGGGTAACCCCATCAGGACCAAACACCTCCCTCCCTTCCTGCTTCAGGACCAACCACATCCTTCCCTCCACCAGCGTGTCATCTTTCCCAAATGAGGGGTGGCAAAGACCCCTGGAGCCAAAGATCCCCTGAACCCACCTTCAGAAGATAAGGTAGATGCATCAGTGCTGGATGCTACACGAGCCAGCAGATGTCCTCTCTCCCAGCCGGGTAACCTGTTTATATCTGAGAGAGAACAGAGTGGCAGAAGCTACAACAGCCCCTTCCCCATGCCATTCATCTATCAAACATTTCCTGAGAAGTTCTGGGTGTCAGGGCCCAGTTACATCCTGGAGATGCAGATATTTAAAAGGAAAAAACAGTCCCAGCTCCAAGGGGCTGAGGAGTTGGGTGAGAAGAGAGATGTAGATAGAGCAGGGAGCACAGAACAAGGGCTACCTAAGGAAATTACTTGGAATGGGCTGGGGTCTAGGCAAAAAGGGGCAGCTCCAGAACTTTTCTCAAGAGTGTGGAGCCTGGTCAGAGGGTGTCCCTGGGCAGACCTCCAACTTTTGTAGTGCTAGGAGTAGAACCCAGCGCCTCATTGCATGCTAGACACTAAGCTTCACCCTCAACTGCAGTTTTGTCCTTTGAGGCACTAAATTGGAGCCCTGCTTAAGGAAAAGAAGCTGATTGCTTAGGGTCTTCAACAAGTCTTCAGTGGCACTTAGTCATCCTTCTGTAGGTCCCTGGTCAGCTCCTGTTTGCCACAGCAAAGTACTGAGAATTTATTTATTATTATCTTTTTTTTTTTTTTAGTTGTAATGGACACGGTACCTTTATTTGTTTTTATGTGGTGCCAGGTATAGAGTGGCAGCAGCTACAACAGCCCCCTCCCCATGCCATTCATCTATCAAACATTTCCTGAAAAGTTCTGAAAACATGGTAGGAAAGTGCTCTACCACTGAGCCACAATCCCAGCCCCCAAAATACTCAGAATTTATTAAAAGGATAGAATGAATAAATTCAAGCACTTATTTCAAAATCTTGTACTACTACTATTCCTCTCCAGCAGATAATTTCACAATCCTTTTCTGTGACTGCTTCTACCCCATCCCCATCAATTCTTCTTCCTGCCCAAACATCTATAACCTAGGTCTTCTGAGCCAGAACATCACTTTCTTTACTGGCTTTTATTTTCCCCCCCTTGCAAACTATGATCATCTTTAAATAAAACATTCTACCAACCCGGTTTCTCCTACCCCTGTATATTCCCCCATTTCCTTTTCTTTTTAAATACATTTTTTAGTTGTAGGTGAACACAATACACTTTATTTTATTTCTATCTGGTGCTGAGTATTAAACGCAGTGCCTTACATGTACTAGACAAGCGCTCTACCACTTACCTACAACCCTAGCGCTCCCCCTTTTCCTTTTCAACCCAAGTTTATTTGTGCATTCATTAAACAGACCTGTATTGCATAGCTCCAATAGGCACCAGGCACAGGCCCTACCTTCAGGGAGCTCAATGACTCCTGTCTTTTCCTTCCAATTAAGCCACCTACAACATGACAGTCATCTGCCCCTTTATCAGAATAGCCTAGACAAAGGTCACCAGCAGTTTTCTAGTAGCAGAGCCCACTGGCCTTATTCTCACTTGACCCAATCAATCTCTGCAAACACTGTTCCTTAGGTTTCCATGACAGATCCCTTTTACCTTTTCTCTTTGTTCAACTAACTCTTCAGTTCATCCCTCCCATGCTGTCTTCTCTTCCTCTGCTATACCCATTATATTGGTGATTACCAGGTTCTGTCTTTGGCTACTTCCTCAGAAGAGTCTAGAAGTCTATCTTAGAAAATGTCATCCACTTCTGATTTCAACATTCACCAAAAAATAAATCTGGGTCTCTAATTTAGACCTGTCTCTCTTTCCTTTCCTTTCTCTTTCTTCTTTTTTTTTTTTTTTTTTTTTTTTGGTGTGTGTGTGTGGTACTGGGTCAAGCCCAGAGCTTCCCACATGCCAAGCAAGTATTTTCCATTGAGTTACACCCCCAACCCCAGGCTGCTTTCCTGAGCATGCACAACCAATATTCTCTTGGATGTTCCCAAAATATCTTTGTAACAGGGTCTCACTAAATTTCCAAAGTTGGCATTAAATTTGCGATCCCCCTGCCTGAGCCTCCTGAGTCACTGGGATTACAGATATGGACCATCAGGCACACCTCTCCAAAATATCTTAAAACTCAGCTGGTATGGTAGCAGTAGCCTGTAATCTCAGTGACTCAGGAAGCTGAGACAGGAGGATTGCAAGTTCAAAACTGGCCTCAGTAACTTGAGAGGCCCTCAGCAATTTAGTGAGATCCTGTCTTAAAATAAAAAATAAAGCCAAGCATGGTGGCACTTGCCTGGCAACTTAGCAAGACCCTGTCTCAAAAAATAAAAAGGCTGGGGGGCTGGGGATATAGCTCAGTTGGTAGAGAGTTGGTAGAGTGCTTGTCTTGCATGCGTGAGGCCCTGGGTTCAATCCCAAGCACCACACAAAAAGGGGGGTGTGCTGGGAATGTAGCTCAGTAGTAAAGTAACCCTGTGTGTTCAATCCTACAAAAAAAATTTATATATATATAAAATCTCCAAGAAACACCTGCTCATCTTGAGAAGGAAAATACTATCCAAAAACAATTGGTCACATATGTCTTTTGCCCCTTTAACCTACTATCATAATACCTTGAACTTGTGACATTCATGTATTTGCTTCTTGAAACCAAGGCCCATATTTCATCTGCCACAGAGCCATGGAAAGTGCTTAGAGAATGTTAGTTTTAAGCCAGACCCAATGACACATACCTGTAATCCAGATTCAAGTTCAAAGCCAAAGCCAGCCTCAGCAATTTACTGAGGTGCCTTAATAAATTTATTGAGACCCTGTCTCAAAAATGTGTGTGTGTGTGTGTGTGTGTGTGTGTGTGTGTGTGTGTGTGTATAGCTGGGATGTGACTCAGTGGTTAAATGACCCTGGGTTCAATCTCCAATACCAAAAAAGAAAATGTTACTTGAATGAATACATGAGAGAATAAGAAAAGCCCATTTTGGAGCCACAAAGAGGATTGGAGATGCTGTCCATGGGGGAAGGAGGTGCTGGACATCAAACCTGGGGCCTCACACATACTAGGCAAGCACTCTACCATTAAGTGTCATCCCCAACCGCACTGGGGACTTTTCTGGAGGAAAATACTTTACTCAGGATGCACACCTTCACAATGACAAGTTCTGAGCTGGGCTGTTTGTATGTGTGTACGCCCAGGTCTCCTAGGAAATGCCTCCCCCGCCGTGTGTGTGTGTGTGTGTGTGTGTGTGTGTGTGTGTGTGTGTGTGTGTGT